TCCAACAGCAGTGCTGCGGTTAGCATAGGTTCTGGCGTCCACCGCTAGGAGTGCCGTGTAGTTACGTAGTGCGTGCGACACCTAAACGGCACTCCTAGCAGTGGACGCCAGAACTTATTCAAACCACATCACTGCTGTCGGTGTATATGTTCTATTTGTCCATGACATATCTAAACAATTAAAGTTTCTGAAAACCCCCATTTTCAATGCTTCTAGACATAATGAACTAGCCCAGTCCAAATGGTGTTTTGAAATGGAAAGTTTTGGGTGTAATTGTTTTCTTTTGTTTTCTTTATGTTTTCTTGGGGTGTGCTGAATCCAAATTTGAAGTTATCCAACAAAAATTTTATCGGCAAGTATGAAATTTTTTGTAAAATAGGGTGAAAATTGTATTTTTTTTCTAGTTTTTGGCTCATAATTTATCGAAGAATAATTTTTTCCCAAATATCATCCTATACTAAAATAAAGAGCATAAAATTGTCTACAGTTTATGTATCTATAACTTTTATCTACAACAAGAAGTGTTTATCAAACTAAATTTAAAAGGTCTGCAAAATTCATTGATTTAGGAAAAAAGCAAAATTATTTCCGTTATGACTTCTCCAGAACATAGATGTAAATGATAGATATCACATAGATGTTGATGTGTGTGTGTTCATAGGATGTAAAATAAAACGTCCCATAAATCTTGTTTTATTTATAAATATTAAACCCTTTTAATTTGAAAATACATGTACACCAACATAATGGTAGATACAAATGACTTTGATTAAGTTAAACTTTTTAATTTCTCAGAGTCTTCTTGGCCAACAGTACCCTGATTTCTGCAGAGCTACTTTCAGGTTCTTCTTCACCTAAAACACCTTTCAAGATTTGGATCTTCAGTATGTGTGAATGCTTTACATAAGGCAGACTTGGCCCCTTTCCTGATACCAAAGTCATCGAATAGAGGCATTGGGTGCGGGCATAGTTCGTATTTCAAAAAGCCTTCAAGTTTCTCATCAGACTGCTTGGCAATTGTCATTCTGTAAACAATAGTAGTTGGATTGATAGGTACGACTTAGGTCATCATGTATTTTAAGGGAATGGATCATTGTGGAAAGTGGCAAAACTCTCTCTTTTCTGTAAAACTTTACATGTTGAAAATCACTTCCCACGATTGGAGTTTAAGCAATGTGGCCAATCTCCTTAGCCTTGTGGCAGTTTATATTGCTGTCTCCCACGACACCTGAGCTAAGAGACGTCAGCGAATGGTTTGCGTTGCGTAAACCAATCATCTAACTTTCTTAAATCATTTCCATCTCTTTTGATTCTAGCTTCTCTCATTTTAACTTTTTGTTCAGAGCTGATTAATGTCACTCCACACATCTACTCGATTTCTTCGCAAATGTTTTGTAGTGAAGTCATTCCTTTGTTCATCTGCACAGAAACCCTTCACTTACACCACGGTCATGGGTAAGCGCTCCAGAAATTGTCATTACTCTCATAAGAAATGGTCTATGAACATGTCCGTCCAAGATCCACTCCAGAACTTGTTGGTCCTTTGAACGGTAAATCCAACACCAATAAACTTTTAATATTCCTCAGGGCTCATTTTGTCTTTCAACGAGTGCGCCTTAGACGAGGTACAGATTACAGCACTTAGCATACAAGAAATGTACACTTGCATGGAAATATGGTAGCATCTGATAAATAACTTTGAGGTGAAGGTTGCAGTTTGCCGATCTTTCAGCTTTTCTGATCTGGAGCAATAGCACTTTTCGTGTTATCAGATGCATCCCCCCATTGCATGGAATTTATTATATCCATCCAACGTACGAGTATTAAGAAAAGTTGTTGTTATTCATTGTGACCCTTGGTTGAAATATATAATTGATAAAATAGAAGAATTATCCAACCACAGTTGCTGGTATGACAACTAGTTTCGTTCCTTAGAACATCTTCAGGTCATTGTATGCACCCACATCATCAATGTATTAATACATTGTGGTATGTCAAAAGATTCTTAATAACACTGTCAGAATCACAATAGTAAAAACTAGTCATGTTGATCAAATTATTAAAATTGAATAAAAAGTTATAAAACTGGTTAAAACTGTAAAGGCTGGCCAGCACTGTCTTATCACTGTCACTGACTAAATAAAACACCTAATAGTAACGGAGAAAAACATACATTTAAAATTCCCATGTTATTCTTAAGGGAAATAAGTAAACTAGGCCTATAATATTTTGCTTGTTATGAACATATTTTGATAAAAAGTGGAAAATGTATTCATTTCATACGAAACCATTAACATTTAAAACACTTTTTACCCTCTCTGTTGCAGCAAACCTAGGTACTCGTTAAACCAATGCTATTTAAATGGGGAACAAATTCAATATTTTTAAAGTGATGTTTAGAGTAAATTGAATCATGCAAATGAAAATTCACTTAGGCTGCAGGTTTGCTGCGGCGGGGGTATTTTGTAATTTCTATTAATTACTTTGTAGATAATGTTTCTGGTATCCATTTTCTGGAAGTAATAAATGTTAAATATTCAATGTTTAATAATTTCTGAATAAAATAACTTTATTTATATTAATATAAATCACTTATCATTGGTTCGATTTTCATCACCAGATAGTCAATGTATGCGGAACTTTATGCTCTACAATTCATTTATGATTTGTTTTTTTTTTTTGTTTTTTTGTAGGCTAGACGGTTTTTTGACGTTTTAGCAAAATCTAAACAATAACCCTGAATTTCAAGGTTTTTATGGTCCCAGGTCAGAAGCTCACCTGGAAAAATGGGGTAAACTTCAAATCCTTTTACTTCTATATAAATAGAAAGGATTAAAATGGTCCCCAGCTTTCCAGGAATTATTTCTGGGCAAAAACCTATTTTACTGGCCTATAATTTAAAAATTGTAAGCCAAAAACTAGAAATAAAGCATTTTTTTATGAATTAATTTTTTAATTCACATTTGCCGAACTAATTTTTGTTGGAAAACATTAGATTTGTGTTCAGCAACCTCAAAAACATAAAATAAGCCATAAAAAACAATTACACCAGAACTTTCCACTTTGAGCCCTTTTTAAACACCATTTGACTGGGCTAAACTTAAACTGCAAGAATTTGAGTCTGAAGACGCCAGGACGACACGCCGCTGGGCGTCGGCGTCGCCCTATACAAGAGTCAACCTCCGGACGGCCTTCGGGCGACTTTTTGCATCCTCAGTGTTAATGTTAAGGCCGTCCCTGCATACCCGCGGTCGGCGACGTTTTTGTCAATGAAATCTGATCCTGGCAGACAACACCTTCAAATAGTTTGCAACCGCAACTACGATATCGTCTTTCGTTATTTTAGGATTTTGTAGTAACGAGGATGAAATTTGATTTAAAAATGAGCGTGTTTTATGTTGGCTAAGTTTTAAGCTACCAACAATATTTTGGAATGTCTCAAAAAGTTGAGCTTTAGGTCAAATAAATCTCACAATACATTTGAAGAAATCTCTCCACAAGAAAACATTAAGAAGTGCTGTTGTAGTTTACAAATAGTGTGAGAATTCTATTTCTTCGTAATACGTTTGAAGGATTTCCGGGGTTTTAATTCAGGCCACTCAGGCCAAAGGTGCCGGCCATGGTTTTTTTTTTACTTTGTTAACTGATCCACAACGCTCCTTAGACATAAAAGCCTCTAGAGAAACTTTGTTTTAGGAGAAAATTAGTTTTCGGACATGAAAAAATGATTATTACTGTACTGGATAACATGCTTACAGGCCAAAGACGGCTGTCAAGTCCCAATTAATATTTCCCATCAATTATATATAATCAACCCCTCAACCCAAATACACATTTTTATATTTACAAACACAAACACACACAAGAAGAAAGAAGTCTGTCACATATGATTATAAGGCCCTTATAAGATAAATAAATGAAATGGAAAATTGCTTTATTTGACTAAATAAACTGTTTACAACTGATACAATAAAAAGTAAAAGAAAGTGTTTATTGTTGTAAGTGCTAGGCCAACTTCAAATATTGTAGTTGTATATTAGGTTCTTAAGACCCTTAAAAATGTTATCAGTTTTAAAAACAATTAATGAAGCTTGTTCCGAATCTTTTAACTAAAATCGAAGTGGTACAAAGTAATTTTTGTATAAACACCAGAACAATAAAGACATAAACTTATTTAATAGCATACATTCAACTACCTCCGAACAAACACCCACTATTTCACTCAACACTTCTTTTGTCCCAAAGTTTTTGCGGTTACAACAAAGGTAAATATAGCTCATTAGACCGAGTACTCAGTGGCAAAAACTCGCTCCACCACTTTTGTGCGACCTACGCCAATATTGTGAATCCACTTTTTGTTCTCTTTGAACAGAAAAACCTAAACCGCAGTTTGTCCGTGATAAGATCGTTGCTTACATTATTGTATTGATCTCATTAAGATAGTTGGCTGCTAGGTGGCCTTCGGTGTGGTTTAGTATGTTTTATCGGTAATGTTAGTTTTTGTTGCAGCATGCAAGAATGGTGTCGTTTGTGGAGTACAATAACCTCTTGGAGCACTTTGACTTTCGTTTTGAATATTTAGGCCTAAAGTGAAGGCAAAGGTCCAAAAATCTATTAAAAACGTTATAAGTATGTTCGGATGAAAATAGACATTTGTCACACTTAGAAGCTAACCTTCATGAAGAAGTAAGCTTTGCTTCTCAAACTTTCATATATTTACCTAGATTAATCAGAAACCCCGTTTACATTTCGTACTACTATTGGCATTATGTACATGGCATAACATTGTAAAATTAATTGGATATGTCTATTCCGACTATAAACTAAATAATTGTCATAACTGGAAGTACATCTTTAGTTTTCTTTGTTTAAAAAGATTCATTGTTGTGGCTAGTTAACAAAAAGGCATACAAAATAAAGTGAGATATGAGTAGGCAATACACCTAATAAACGTTAATAGTTTGTCTATGTAAGTGCTTTGTGGTCAATTGTACACTTACCAATAACGAAATCATGTTGATGATCTTGCTGTGTGTTTACACCTGAAACAGGTTTAAAATAGTTAGGAATCCCTCCATCTTTTGCATATTGTATTTTAGGATTTAATATGATCCATGATTCAAGGTTTGTACAATACAAAAAATATTGCAACAATTTTTGCTAACTTCATACCAATATCAATCACATAAGTCTAACATCAGTGTGTGGAAATATGCCAAGATTACTTTACGAGTTGCATTTTAGCTAAAGAGGATTGTTTAATCTATGGTTTAAGGAAGTTATACTTGGTTCTAACTGCACAGTACTGAAAAAAATAATTAAAATACTGAGATACAAATGAATGTACTGCAACTATCTTTTTTAGATCAAAATTCACAAACATGACGTGTTATATTGGATTAAACTTAAATGAACCCTTAAACCTAATACAACATGGGAATTGATCATTTAGCACGATTGCTTAGCTAAAATCTTATTCTGACTTTGTATATGTCCCATATTTTACTAAAGAGAATGGGCAGTTTTCACGTCATAGATTAATTACTTTTTGATCTAACAGGCTTTCAATCCTGACTGATGAAACAGCTGGTCTTAGTCAGTAACAAAGCTACACAAGGCATCTCACTCCATTCTGATTCTACAGTACACTCATCCTTCACTCATATTTGGGGTAAAATACTAACATAGATGGTGCTTTATCTCATATGATAGTAATAATAATAATACAAAAATAATACATTCGGTATTTACACATTTTACTTCCTGACAAAACATTTTTCTGCCGAGTAACACAAGTCTTGTGATTAAAATATTGTGTGATTTACCAATGTTTTTATTAATATAAAATAAGGATCTAAAAGTCGTAGTACGCTGATGATAAACATGCCAAAGGTACAGGTGTTTTCAATTAACTTTACATTACCCAAAATCTTCAAAAATCGTAAGCTACATTTGCACAAACGTGGTTTCGCTCTCATCTCCAACCACTAACGGAAATGTCAAGTGATAAAAAGATCTCAAACGATCCTTTGCACATTCAAGGTAATAAAATCGTCATTTGCTCTAATCCAGGGACGCTATAAACCCCTGGCGTATCCTTGTCAATGACCTGAGAGTGGGAGGTTTACCGCCACCGCGTCCAACAGCTGATCCAGTTGATGTAATCAGCTGATCACCTGATATGTCACTTTTGATGTGTGTGGGTGAAAGTGAACAGTTCACTGAATCGTGAGAAATGTGGATGATCTAGTGTTAAAAGCGCGGGACTTCGGTATTGAAGACCGAGTTCAATTCCGGCCATTCGATAATCGCCAGTGAATATTATTATCGATTAAATTAAAACATGGACTCAATACAGTATTTTTATCTATGATTGGAAACGTGAGTTTAAAGTTTAATAAGTCTTTTGTTGGTGTCCAGCTTTTGCTTTTGATAGGACCATATAAAAATTTGATTATATTTATTCAATACTGACTCAACAAGATGTAATTTTCCAGATATGTGAAGGATGAGAGTCGAATGGATGGGATGATAGCTTTGATTGATTTAGACTAGCTGTTTGTTTTTTTTTTTATTTACATCATTATAGCCCAATATGATAAGGATAGCTAGGTTCAATTTCAAACCAACAAAAAGAGTTTTTTTACGGATGGACTTGACGTTTTGATTATTAGGTGAGAAATATAAGCAGCTAGGAAACTATGTGCTAGCTTTGTGATAAGGCCGTATGCATAGGTTCAGAACCCCCTAGGGTACAATTTGTAAACGTAATACTAATTTAATAATACTAAAAATAATGTTAAGTACTATTTCAATGTAAACATTAAAAAAGTATTTTGGTTTTACAAAAACGCCAATAATGTAATTGACGTAAAGGTGGCTTTGTCTAAGGTAGCGGACATTTTTATAAATTAATTTAAAAGCAATTATTAGTACAAAATTTGGTAAAATATATTTACAAGGAGTCGTTTGAGTCAGTATTCCCAAAAAAAACTTTAATACATTGTTGTGAAATTATTTATAAACAACTTCTAAAATTACAGCTATATTTTTTTTGTACGTCTTGTAAATTCAAAGTATTGATATGGAAAACCTTGTAAAATGTCATACAGCTTTTTCATTTGTAATATTTTTATAACAAGCTTTACTAACCTAGATGTAAGTAATGTTAATGCTGATGCACTGTTTTATATACTCCTGGTTCCCAACCGTTCGTTAAAGTCTTCTAGTAATGTGATTGCTCAGAGAAGTAGAACTTAAAACAACGGCCAAAACATTTCCCATTCGATCGAAACAAGAAATTTATTAGGTTATTTTTAGTATGGTCTATTTTCATGTATGTATGACATGTATTAGGTATAAGCCTGAAATGTAACGTTTTGCCATTTTTGTATGTATATGTAAAATGGAGTTTTCCGTTTATAAATTAACTAGAGGTCGTCCAGTGGTCGAAACTCGACCAAAAATATTTAATGTACAGACTTCTTTATTTTCATTCCACACTTTGAATAGAACATGTGATTGGAGTTTCTTTCATTTGTTTTGATTTTCTGTTTATATTTCGTTGTTATTTCGTCACCAGCATGGCAACTCATAATATCCATGTTAAATTTTTCAAAATTTTAAATTCATTTTTTGTGCTTATTTTTGAGCCTATTTTTATTTATAAAGGGATTCTGCACACCTACAGGAAAATAGTTTTCTAACAGTATGCGTAGATTTTCCCTACGATGCACACGAGCTGAGAAAAAAGGTTTTAAAGAAACATGCTTGCCTATTAATATATAGATAGATTACAGTAATTAAGAAAAAAGGAGTTGTAGCCATGAAATGGGTTAGCATGTTGGCTAAGCATAGATGTTAAGTAAAAAAAATACACAATGAAAAAATATTGATTATGCCTATTGATAAATTTAGAGAATATTTTGGTTAGGAATATTTTTCATGCTGATGCAAAACCTAATACGGAAATCAACACTAAGACTAAACCATACACCGATAAACATTTGTATGAAAAATTAAATTACATAGAGTTCAAAGTATATTGTTCCCTTGATGGTTTTGGTAAAAAAATTGATAGTAATTTAATTAAGTCGCAAATGGTTTTAATTTGGACCAAAAACTGCTAATAGGTAATATAGCAATATTTTAATATAGTATCCAAACTGCATATAATTTATCAATATGAAAAGAAATCTAAATATTAAAAGCCTCACTTAAACAGTAAAAATGAATAGTCACAAAAATTCAAATTTTTAACATGGTCGACTACAAGAAGTTTAAAGTCCAAAGTACATAAACTGTTTGAGCTTTTTGAAGTAATTAATTAAACGATAAAATTTACAGAGTAATTGTAATCCGAAGAAAATTTTTGGTTCATATTCTAACGATCTGATCAAAACAGTTAAGACAGAAATCAAATAATTACAGAAATTAATCCAGGTTTTTAGCATAACACAATTTAACGGTACATTTTTCATACAACACAAAGATCTAAATAAGAAGCAACCCTTAACATTTTTACATAGCTAACAGCCTAATTAAGCGTTACATTTCCTAACCTCTAAGCGTCGCCGGCTGAGCACGTGGGTCTGCTGCAACTGGAGGACCTCGTACTTCGCCCAAGGAAGATCCTGAATGACTGAGCGATGCTCGGACCCCTCTACCTCCACCTGGCGCTCCAGGATACGTCCCGCCAAAACGACCAAAACCTCCCGCTCTTTAGGGAATTCCGCTCTGGATAGTAGCCTACCGACAAACTAGATTAGGTTAGTGTGTTCAAACGGAATTTTTAAAATTCTTAAAGACCGTGTGAGTTAAGACTTGTCGGTTTCGATTTAGAGTGGAAAAGCTTATTATGTATATTTAGTATAATACTTCAACAGTTTATATCAATAATTAACTCAGAAGCTAAGCTGATAGTAACTTAAATATTTCTTTAGCATTTATTTAGCTGATAAAAATGTGACGATTAATAAATTATCCTTCCATATTTTAAAAGGTATTTTTATTTCAATGATTAAGTAGAGTATACAGCAAATGTTATATGCATTAAGAGAAAGATGTGACAAAACATAATAATACTACAAGATTATTTAAAGTGGGACCAACTTGTACTTAAAAAATTTAGCTATTATTTAATTTTCAAACTAGGTTTTTATTAATATTTTGAATGTTGTCTAGTAAGACAGATTTTAATGTGGCTATGTAGTTTGATGTTAATTTCGTTTAAAACTTTATCAAATTAGTGTAAAATCGCTATTAAAACATACTAATTATTGTGATATAATGCCCTGCTTCACAAACCTGGTAGTTTGAGAATATTAAAAGAATCGACGGGTCAATCATTATTGCTATGGTCCCTCTATAAACCCTCCCCCCCCCCCCAACTATATGTGTTTACAATATCTATAGTTTACATAAAATATTATGTACTGTAGAATGCTAACTTTAGTTTACCATTGAGTTGAGTTTAAATTGAACTAAATTGAGTTTCTTACCACATTTATTTCTAATTTTAACTTTCACTTCAGTGGGAAATCAAATAAATCGGTTAATATATTGTAAACTACTTTTTCACCACACTATGATGTTTTTGGCTGTATTACATACGTTAATTGGTGGCTGAAAGTTACGTTTTGCTGGCCATGCCAGCTGTCATCGTAGTTTGGGGACCGAGCAGGTTTTTACATCCCGGGGCCGCAAAATCAGCTGTCCGCTTGCATATTAATTACACAAACAGTATCCATAGCATTGAAATAGAATTGTTTTATTTTAACCGTTGCCTAGCAACTGTTTATTATTATATTTGCTGATTCCTGAAATTACTTCTTCACATAACCTTAAAGTTGCGTTGACTATCAGTTTTCATTATTATTATTGTGAATAGTAGTAGTGTGGTGAAAAATAGTGTTCGTACTACGGACCGAAAATGGTTTTGCAGCTCTCGATCGATTTAAGTTCTCGACTTCGTCTCGAACTTAAAACTGTCTCGAGCCGGCAAACCCTCGTTTTCGGCCCTAGGTACGAAATATACTATTTTTTAGTTTTTACCGTTTTTCCAACTTTTAGGAAAACGATTTTTATCACGTTTCTAATCTTCCCTGACGTCCAAGTAGTTTAAAAACTCCCGAACGCACTTCATGTTGGATAAGTTACTATAGCATAATTTAAAATCACTATCTAAATTCTACCACATTTCCATTACTAAATATGAAAACAAACTACTATCTGGAACTAAAATTCAGGTTCAATACAAAGGTTGCGCAATGTTTGGTACCTAGAAAGTAAGATCGACTGAACTTTCGCTGAGGACCGGAGACCGAGGACAATATCTGCCCACGCCTGTAGTCCTGGAGTTCTGCCAATCTTGGATAACGGAGGACTCGGGACTTCGGGCGTGTCCTGACAGGACCGTTACTGTTCAGTCAAAACAATCCTTGTGCTTACTCGGGACACTGCTGTAGAGGTTAAAAGGCAGGACCTCCTGTTCCAGAGGTTTACGTTCGAATCCTACCAAACACCAAAGGAACTCTGTAATTTTGTAATGCGACCTGAGGGTTTGGAAGCCTCTTTAAGCTACATGTCAACTTATTTAAAACGAGGTATGTGCAAGAATAATAGTGTCTTTGTGACTAAACCCCAACCCCAATTAAAGCCTAAGATAATTTATTGAATTTACTTATAGATACAGTGAGAGGATTCAGCTTAAGGAGGGAGAGTTTCTTTGTACTTCGGGCCAAAGTTGTATGAACACCTTTAATTATTTTGCTTCTAACATAAATGAGTTAATCTTTTAAGAAAATATTTGAGAACTTAACTCGCCTAATTAGGTAATGGTTAGTGGATCATTCCAACTATATCCGTTTTCTTTGAGTGGAATTTAGTACTTGTTTTTAACCTGTTTTTCATTTTTCTACGAAGAAATTCGTTCTGTAAATCCATTTTTGTACTGTCAAAACACTAGAATAGTAAAAATATTTGTCATTCATTAATCACATTTTTTTAACTAAAAACACTTTTTTGTGTATTGTGTACAATGCAAAGACCCACACACACATAGTGGGGTTAGGATATTATATGTACAATTCGAAAGTCTTCATAAAAAAATAGAAACATGAATATTATACTTTGCATTTACTCTTTTTTCGATGTTTATACGTGTATTTAGTGTTTCAAATTGTTCTGTTGCTACACACTGTCATTTCAAATGTTTTACTTAACAATTGCATACGTCATAACATAACCAACTTTCTCTTATTGCAGCGGACGCAACAATGTAATCGATCAAAACTGACAAGTTGGGTTAGGTTAGGAACACACTGACATTTTCACTTTTCTAATTTCGTTATGGAATCGATCCCTCCCAAAATCGAGCCTCTAAAGATCAAGGCTTTTGTAATTTTGAGACATGATTAATAATCTAAGGTGATTGGTCGTAAAAATTCCAATATGATTCTGTCACAATATTTCACCTGAAAGCGTTTATTGAATATAGTATAAACAGGATTTAGGTGTTGGTTATTTTTTACATCCTACATGGGGTTCTAGGAACCTACAAACACCTAACTTATTACATAACTTAAATTCCCATTTTATAACAAAAACTGTGTTTTTACTATTTGACAAGTATCTAGTGAAAATAAAATAGTAGTTTACGCAACGATCGCGTAAATACTATCTACGCGAGTCGTGTACACTTCTTTACCTACGACCGTTTTGTAATTACTAACAATCACTTCTCATCTTATATACTAAAAAAACTTTTGCAAAACTTACGACAGCTAGCCTGACTTTACTACTGGACCGAATTACACGCGGTTGGTACCAAATGAAAGATATTTACCTGTAGATGTGCAGAGTCCCTTTAAAAATTAAAATAGACTCAAAAATAAGCACGAAAAATTAATTTGAAATTTTGAAAAAATTAACATGGGTCTTATGGGTTGCCATGGTGATGACGAAATAACAACAAAATATAAACAGAAAATCAAAACAAATGGAAGACATTCCAATCACATGTTTTATTTACAGTGTAGGGTGAAAAGATCGATGAGTGAAAATGGAGAAGTCTGTACATTACATATTTTTGGTAGAGTTTTCGATCACGGGGCGACCTATAGTAACCAATATAATAATAAACGTTTCTCATGGAGATTGTTTTAAGCTTAAGACAGACACCCTGACCATACTACTGGACCGATTTACACGCGGTTGGTACCAAATGAAAGGTAATTGTCTTTATATTTGCCCATTTTGCTTCAACTTCAGATATTACTGGACTAAATGTTATAAAAACGGAAATTAAAATATCTATTGACAATTTAAAATGGGGTAAAATTTTTAGTCTATTAAGAGTGAGATCTGGGGTTATTGGACCGATTTACATGCAGGTTGTGCTAAATAAAAGGTAATTAAACTCTATATTTTCCCATGAGCCTGAAAAGTTTACTATTCCTTTATATCTTATAAACTAAAAAAACTTTTGCAAAACTTATGACTGCTAGCCTGATCATACCACTGGACCGAATTACACGCGGTTGGTACCAAATGAAAGATATTTTCCTGTAGATGTGTAGAATCCCTTTATAAATTAAAATAGGCTCAAAAATAAACACAAAAAATTAATTTAAAATTAAAAAAACTAACATGGGCCTTATGGGTTGCTATGTTGGTGACAAAATAACAACAAAATATAAACAGAAAATCAAAACCGATTAAAGAAATTCCATCAGATGTTTTATTTACAGCGTGGGTTAAAAATTGAGAAGTTTGCACAATACATACTTTTGGTCGAGTTTTCGACCACCGGGTAAGCTCTCGTAACTTCTAAGAGAGGTTATGTTTTCGTTTATAAAATCTCGTTGCTACTGATAGTGATGCAACGATTCATTAAATTGGCAGCTGATTAGGTCTCGCCACCCTAAGTTGAGGCAGTCCAAACGGTGTCGTGCCAGAAGCGACCGTGCCAGAAGCGACCCGTGCCACTAGCGACCCGTCAATTTTCTACCGTGCCGCTAGCGACCCAAGAATTTGTGGCGGGAGGCGAGTAATGAATTAACGCTGATTCAACTTATATTCTTAACAAAAACTAAACAGAATTTCACTATTAAACCATATTACAGCGATTTGCTGTCACATTAAATACATAACAAAATATTCCCGCCACAGCAGTCCTGCAGACTAAATTTATTCCCATTTGGGGAAGAAAAATAGTTTTTTATGTAAATTGTATCGTATAATTCATACGATTATACATTTACCAACACATATCCATAAATAATATAAGCAAACTATAACAGTTTGTAGACTCCAGGTGCATTTATTGTAATAAAACTATTTTATCTTTATTCGTTCGTGTAATGTGTGTGAAAGTTGATGGATATTAGTTGACAATGATAAGTATTTTTTTCCAACTGCAATGTTTTGACAATGGCGGATACAATCCGAAACACGTAAACAACCTACTATTTGAGCTGTTTGTCTGATTATAAGGTATGTAAACCTATTTATCACATTGAATATAACAGCTCAGGAGCTAGAATGGAAACGAATTATAACCAAATTACATATATTTTTTACGAGTGGTGTTTTTGCTCTCTCGGGACATCAAAACGTAAAATTTAATAGGTACCGG